GCAGACATTGCAAACATATGAAAAAAATAAAGAATCTTAACAAACAGACATTAAAAAGTGGGCTGGGAAAATTATCTTCCCAGACAGGCGATGAAAATGAGAGTAAGAATATCTACAGGATTCCTCACAGCCTGATCCTGTTTTTACTAAAAATCAATGACAGAATGTCCTATCAACTTCAGTTAAGTAAGAGCAGAACTTCAGATCAATTACTTTCTAAAACCTGTGTAACCAACACTGTAAAAATGTGTATTTTATGAGAGCAAGTGAGCCTTCAAAGCATGAGACTCGATGAAAACAGGGCATCTAAACAAGGGCCTCACAAAGTCATATGAAACTTCATGAGGGAGTGACCCTTCCCCAAAAGAGAAGGGGCTTCAAGGGGACTACACAAAAGGACAACATTATTTTTGTAGTTTGCAAGTGCAGCCTCAGTTTTTTCAACTACACTCAACATATTTTGTGCCTTGGTTCAAACCAGCAGCGATGTACAAGGAATTCAGATTACATCACAGCAGAAACACAGTCAGAAAGCAAGACAGAAACGCAAGAAAAAAGGCCCAACCTGTGCTCTAATGCTAATTCATTTTGCTTTGTAAACTAGTTGTGACATCTATTTTCCACTGGCCTACATTGTCTGAGGTTTTGAGGCCTATCTGTCATATTGAGGCAACAGACCCTTTTAACACTTCACTTTGCTTTGATATGCAGTCTTGTCTCTTCCTTCTCCCTCTTTTCTTCAGGAGTTATATTGCCGGAAAGGGTGATGATTTTCACAGCAAATAAAGAGGCCTTCTCCCAGCTTTATTGTCTTCAGAAGAAATACTCTGTGAATTTTATGACCAAGGGGAATGGGGAAAACTACTCCTTTTCTCCACCCCCTCAAATCATGGTTATATTTGCTGATTATAGTGAAGCCGGAATAACCCTGTTGAATTTTAACTTGTTTTCAAAGATTACCTTTTAAGCCTCCAGTTTACAAGGAACCTGAATATCTACACTATTGTTAACATTGCAACTACCACTTCGAGCAAATATTTCGAAGCCAACAATTTGTACCTTAAAAAAAAAAAAACCAAACCACCTCAGTTTGATGATTGGTTCAATCCTCCAAATTCAGGCAGGAAAACTTTGTACACGAGAAGTCCAAGCAGCACAGGATTTGGGCAAACTTCCTTCATTAGGCATATTTCAAAATGTCTTAAGCTATGTCTGCCTCTAACCTGCAGATAAAAATATTGCAGTCTACCCCCAGCGTTGGTCCAAAATTAAAGAGAACCGAGGGAAAAAATATTCCTTCATCTACTTCAGTCCTTTTTCCCTCTGCTAAGATGAAAGAGTCTGACATTTGTTTAGGGCTTGTAAATTCCAAACCAATTGGCTTGTGTTTCTGAATGTGAAAGGGGTTCTTGATAAGATCTCCTTGTCGCTCCTTTGTGTGGCGTGTGCTTCATCTTAACACCTCAATGGATTTTAGGGAACCACTTTAAAGGAGTCTTTGTCCTACAGTTTGTCCCAGAAAACTCACATCAAAAAAAACCTGGGAAGATCAGAAGAAAAAGGAAAACTATCTAGCTGGCTGTTGAAAGTGCAAAGGAGAATAAATAAGTTGAGAAGTATTCTCTCTATAATATTATTATTACATGAAGAATTATTTTTAAAAGTCTATGAGACTTATCTTCTAAACATCAGTTAATGCTTTTTTTATCAGCATTTCTCCAATATAGCTAAGAATATTTCTTTTATACATTAGAGAGAGGATGATACCGAAATCCTTTCACAAGTATTTTATTGCCTCATCTTACAAATTGCCAAGTGCCTTCAAGTCAAAAGGGAAGCTCAGCACACAGAGTACCCCCAGCAAGACCTCCAGAGCCACTCCACATCTTGCAAGGCTGGACCTTTTTCAAAAAAATAAATTCCAATTATTATTGAACTTACAAGCACGTCCTATGGCCACGCAAGAAAGCAAAAGCATTTCTAGTAGGACATTTCTTTGTGTTAAAAAGGTGATCTTTAAAAACTCAAAGAATTAGGACATGGTACAACTAAACAGTGACTGAACTTCAGTCCTGAAATTCTGTGTGTTTATGCCTGCATATACATGGAAGTCACTTCAACAAGCATTAAAATGAAACCCCTTTGAGATCAAATATAGCCAGCACCAATTATGTACTGCTATGAATTATTTAAGATGCTTCAGGGTGTTTTTCACTTCAGAGCTTTACATGTAAATCATGTTTACAGAGAGAGGGAAATAGAGAGGGAAGGACAGTTATGATAACCAATACTCCATTTATTTGCCCTGCACCTCGTATTCCCCCTCTGTAACACAGAAACAACCCCATGCAAGCACTCTGTTTAATTAATGCCTGTAAAATGTTTGAGATGTTTGAAAGAAAGATGCTATAGAAAATCAAATTCATCATATTAATAATATTTCTCTCTTAAACAGGTAAAACAAGAACAAAAGAAAAGTACCGAGTGGTTTACACAGATCATCAGAGACTAGAATTAGAGAAGGAGTTTCACTGCAACAGATACATTACGATAAGGAGGAAGTCAGAACTGGCAGCAAACCTGGGACTGTCTGAGAGACAGGTACACAGACTGTCCATCCTTCACACAGCCAGGGGCACGGGCAGCAGTCATGCTCTGTACCCAGCAGCACTGTGCAGGCAACCCTCATACTGTTTCTATCTGACACAATACACTACACAAATTAATTCATAGGATAATTGGAAACCTCAGACTACGGGCAACTAAACATCAGGGATTGATTTATAGTACAGAAAGTACTTATTGGTACATGCATAACAGCTTGCTATGCACTTAGAATTTAAACACTTCAGCTTAACATTATCTTAGTTCTGTTCTCAGTAGTTATTACATTCACCATTTCCTTTCTTTTTGACATCACACAAAATGGTGGCCAGAAAAACACCTCAAAGGTTGGATGTATTTCAGCTGTAAGGCAAGAAAATGAAAACTCAGCATTCAAAACACAATAAAAGAGCTACCTATGGCTTTTTTTCTTACAAATTTATTGCCACTGTTTCCATGGGCCACATTCTTCCTCAATCAGATTTCAGCACCTTCTGAGGAGTTTATACAGCCCATGATTTCCATGTCAGGATTTCTTTTTGCTGTTAAATTCACAGGTACTTCACCTGTAGTTGTAGTTCACACCCACTATATACAGGATAAAAACAATTTGGTGCCAAATTTTCATGCCTATTATACACATATATGTAGCCAAGACTATCCATTCAGGAAATTTCCAAGTGTGTACTTAAATCCATTGCTTCTTTGGAAAGAAGCTCTGCATTTGTTCCTAAAAAGTATGTACTTAAGCTCTGGGCTGAATAGTCACCCAAGCAGGGGCCCAGGTATCTTAGCTGTGTTCATACAAAGTCTAGAGGAATTTAGGATAAAGAATTTCCTAAAATCACTGTGTGGGAGAGCACACTTGGAAGCCCAGCTCTGCAGCCTGCAAATATAGTAACTGTTGACTCCAACCCTCCTTACCTGAGAGAATTGCAATGGTTCTGCTGCAGCTGGAGGAAAGGGAAGATTTGGTGATACTGAGTAAGGCACCTCACACCTTAGCAACCAGGTTTACTGTCCCCAGGTAAATTGAAACAAGATGTTTCTTTTTAGAATTTTACCAACTTTTGTTCTTTTTGAATAGATACATGCAGTTCTCTAAAATATTCTCCTCTTCCCATGGCCACCTCTGCTTCTGCATTCAGCCTGTGCAAGGACATGAAGTAGAGAGGGACCAGTTGAGGCTGGAATTGTCAGGAGGCACAGATAAGCAATGGTATTTTAGGATCAAGCCCCAGATCCTTATAGACATATCCTAGTGAAGTGGTGTTCAATCTCAGACTCAAAAAGTACACAGATTCAAGTATAATGTAGACAAAATACATCATCTATCTGCTTGTCTCCAGTACTCCTGGCAGACAAAGCTAAATTCTTACTGACATTACAAGTAATAAAAGCCTAACTAGAAAATAATGATGATATTTTTAATGCAATGTCATGGTACAACTTTCTGTACCCTGTTGTATTCAAATCACCTTAAAGGATGTAACAAAAACCGTGAAGGAAGAACACAAACAAAAATAATAAGAAAATCACAAATGGTGCTTTCTACTCATTCACACTTTCACATAAGGACAAGAAAATAGCTACTTGGACTAAAAGATTTCAATCAGATAGGAGTCTTGACATATGCACAATTAGCCTGGCAAATTCCATGGTGTTGAGTAATGCCAATATATATATTTATACACATGACACAGTACACACTTATCTGTAAAATACATATAGCCCAGTAACAAATACATTCAAAACTTTTAAAGCACCTAAGAATACATAAACACAAAAACACCCACATTATAAATTAAGAAAAAGAACCCTCACAACTTGGGTTTGAATTAATCTGTAACAGAGATGATAAAGAAATCTTCAAAATTATTCATAATTGCATCTTCCTGCAGTACAACACATGCCACTGTCAGAGCTTAGATGTGGTAAACTAGGTGGACCCTGAGTCTAAGTGAGTAAGCTGATTCTTGTGTTCTGAAATATAACACAGCAAGTTCAATTTACAACATGTCTAAGAAAACAAAGTCATTTTCTATTGATTATGATGCAGAAAACAAATAGAGGAACTAAAAAGTTTTTTTGCTGCACATATCCACTGTTTTGTTTGGGGTTTTTTTGGGGAGTTGTTTGACTTTGGTTTTTGGTTTGGGGTTATGGGGTTGGTTTTTTTCTTGTTTTGGGATGATTTTGTTTGCTTGGGTTGGGTTTTTTTATATATTTTTTTTTCACATATCTACAGTTTCATTGCTATTACTACTGTAAAACGTTGACCACTGCATTGAATTAATCAGAGATCATTGCTAACCCCACAGGTGAAAATCTGGTTCCAGAACCGCCGAGCCAAAGAAAGAAAAATGATCAAGAAAAAAATCTCTCAGTTTGATGGCAGTGGGGGCTCAGCTCAGAGTGACTCTGGCTCACTCAGCCCAAATGAAATATCCAGTTCTCTGTTCCCACCACCACATGGAATAAACGGATTACAGCCTAATGACATTCATCAAGTCATAGTTTCAGAATGAACAGAGGGGAAACAAAAAAAGGAAAAAAGAAAAAACAAGAATGGATTTCCCCATCACCTTCCCTGCCCTTGAAAACTCAACTTTGCAAAGGACTGTTCTGTTCTAACTGCCTTCAGAGGGCTCAATTCCAAGTACAGGATCTGGGAGTACTATCAGAATATTTTAACTATTGCAGACATCTCAGGGAACTTGCACTGCTAAGATTCATCATTCAAAATCTTTGAGTAGGAGGAGATTTGCTTCGGACACTAACACAAAGAATGATACAACTGAAGGTTCAAGTAAATGTAGTTCTAGTCTGATCATATATATTTACAGAAAACTAAGTGATTATAAAATAGAGTACTATTGCACAATACACATGATGCTGGGTGTATTTGCTTTGTTACATTTTATATAAGTGTAGATGTTAATAAATATTCACACTCAAATGTACCGAAACAAATGCTGCTTTTTGAAGACAACAAAAACACTTCAACCACTTTTAGACACTCAGGAAACCTACCAGTGTTGCTCTACCAACATATTGCATTTAATGAAATAAAACCAAGCTGCTTTGCCCTATGTAACTGTATTCCAGCACCAGTCACAGGTAGATAATATCACATCAAACATGCCAAAATTGGTTCACTTGTAGGAGATGCAGCAGTTTGTCATGCACTAGTAAATGTTAAATAGTTTGGAAGATGTAAGTATTACTTCAATCTTTGATGAATGCATATATTATTGCTTAAAAATATGAGCACCAATGTAACAGAAACAGAACTGCTACAACCAGCAAACCACCAAAAAGCAACCCCAAAAGTTGTTTAATATCTTTAAACCTTCTAAGTGAAATCATAGCAACCTTGGGCCACTGATTTTACCCATGACACTTATTTTGGGCTAAAGGTAAGAAACAGCCCAGAGTGGCTGATGCTATTTTGGAGCTGTTAGCAAAGCTCAGGATTCACAAAGCCATAGCAAGCATGTAATGAAAGAAGCATTCACTCCATGTGTGCTCTTCCAAGAGCATGGACTAAAGATAACCATGCCCCCACTGTGGCTAGCTGTGGTTATTTGGTCCACGTGGCAGGTAAGAAGGTAGCCATCACATGAGGAGACAACCAGTCAGTCTAGAAATAGCAGAAAGGAAACCCAAAGCACTGAAAAAACATCCTCAGACCCTTCAGTAGTACTTTTCATTGGAATTTTGTAATATGAACTTTTTGAGAGCAAACAAGTGCTCTGTTGGAAAAAATTAGCATAATTGAAAGGGTCATTGGGAGCAACGGTAATAAAAAGGCAAACAGAAAACTCCATTATCTGGCACATGAAACTTTATGCATTGCTTCTTTCAACATCAACCTCTTGGGCTCAGAAGCTGCTTTCCCCAGCTCCACCAGCCCCTCTACTTGTGTTGTCCTTTACACACGAGGGATGTAGAAGCTAAAATCATTTCCCAAGGAACTCACAAAGATGATGTAATACTTTAGACATGCAAACACAGAAAAAAAGGAAGAGGGTCTTTCCCTTGCCCCCAGTCTCCAACCACCAGAGACCTACCTCTGTGGAAGAGCAGGTGATGGTTTTGTGAAGGTTACCAGTGGCACAGAAATGGACAGCAGGAGAAAACTGTCTTCTAGTTTCCAGGTTTTTCTGTGATCAGTTTTCAAATCAGCACAGGAGGATGGCAAGTAAAGAGCTAGAAAACACAACACATCATTTGTTATGTTTGTGTACTAGAAATGCACGGCTTAAAATTTCTCTTTCCTTCTAATTTATGGCAAAATTGAAACAAAAACATTAAATGGTTATTTATCAGGTTCACATTCAGCATATTCAACGCTATTATCTTGCAGTTTCCAAACAAGCTCCAGGCTATGTTTTTGACTTGCCAGACACCAGGACACACCACACTGCTCTGACAGGCTGGGCACAAGAGCCACTGAAGTCACTGCCTGAACCTCAGAACCTCCACTGTCCATACATGGAACCTTTAAAATGAGACTGATTTAGATATCAAATGGGAGTCTGAACAGGATACAAAGCACCTCCTATGACATGTTTAAAATCAGTCTTGTTGATAAAAATTGTTTTCCTTTTTCATCATCTTCACCCTGATTGTTTTCCATCAGGTCTGTTTGAAATGTATTCAAGGCATCTATTAATAAATGTCTGGGGGACACAGTCTCTTTCATGTACTAGATAGTGACCTCTAAGCCTAAAAACCATATCAGATCATCTTCAAATAAGAAGTTATTCTCCCCACCTTGTACTGTGCATAACCACCCTCCTCTTAGACCAGAATGTCCCTTTCAGTGTGGTGGTGTAGCTCCTTCTAAAAATAAGGAAAAAAAACTAATAAGCCCTAAAAAGATATTAATTTTTTTTAGACAAACTGGGTCTGAAGTTTATTCAACTTGATTACAGAGCAATTAAATACACAGTTGTACCACCAGATCAAGAGGATCATAAGCCATGAAGAGAGGAGAACAGGAAGCAGCTGTTAGAGAAGACCTCCTCTACCTCTGACAGGGTTTGGACATTGTACCTGACTGGAGCCTTTGGCTTTTTTTTTTTGCCAGAAAGCATCATCCCAACTCAAAACACAATTCAGAACTACCTGCTGGCACATTTTAGTCTCTTTGACTCCTCTACATTCCTCATGCAGAGGAAAAGCTTCTGGAGATGTGATCCAGCCCTTGTATTTAATTTCTGTATTTATGTGGGTGAAAGGAAACACTATAGGCTATAAATAACATTTTCTAGCGTTTATCTTTCCTCTTTTGAAGACTTCTCCAGGGACTTTAATTAAACGCTCCCTTCACACCATTAGGCAATTAAAATAATAATAAATCAAACACCATCCCTCTCACCCAGTGGGTATCTTTCAGCTCCCTGCCTTTTCCACGTTATGTAAATAGAAAGTGATCAGACTGCTGAAGTTGAGCTGTCTGATTGGTATTTCCAGTCTGAGAAGTATTGAGCCACTTCAGCACCATGCTGATATCAAGAGGGTTCTGCATCACACAACTGCCTAATTCCAGCAGCCAGCAAATCCCTTCTGACCTTTATTTGAATCATCTTTATTCTCATGAGAATCCTGCAGAGGTGCAAACCCCTTGGGAACCATTCACCTTTCTCAGCACCACTGCCTATGAATAGTTAATCAGGAAGGAATCCTTTACCACAAACTGTTTGTGCTGAGACTCAAGGTAGCAGCACAGTGATTTGGCTTCATTAACTAACTTCTAAATATTGATCTGTGGGAGAAAATAAATAAAAATGACAGATTTACCTGTAGTTGTAGTAGTGAGAGAGAGTGTAGACTAGAAATTGGAAAGGACCTTAGCATAAGCTATGTAAAAAATATCATTTACAGAGAGAGGAGTGTAACTTAACCCCCCAACTGGCTTCTTGTAATAGTAGCACAGGTTAAATAAAAACCTGGGCCAGAAACTTAAACTTCTTGAAACTAAGTTTAGCTTTGAAAATTGATCTACAGCTACATTAGACATTTTCTGTATGAGCAGCAGAGCTGCACATCTGTGCAAATAACCTTCTAGACATTACAAAATACTTGTGGGAGGTTTAATTAAACTATTTTTGTGATACATCACTCTTGAGCTGCCTTAATTAAACAAATATATCCAAATTTGCCTGATGAGTGACACATTTCTATTGCTAAACAAAAGAACATGAACTTGCAATGAGATGCTGGATGCACCTGGAACAGGAAAAAGAGCTCTGCTAAATGCAGCAACCAAACCCACAGAAATTAACAGGGTCTTTTTCTCATCAGAAATTCCACATTAAACAGGATCAGCTCTAGCTTGGTTATAGTTCCCAGTCAAAATTTATGCCTGTACTCCCCAAAGAGGAAGCTAGTAGATAATGCAACCATTTGGGGAGTTATTTCAGAAAAGCCTCAGGTACTTATCAAACAATGTTCAATTCTGTGGTTAATATTATTGTAAAAAAAAAAAAACATTAATTTGCATTGAAGGAGTGACTTTTATTATCCCATGACCTTTCTGAAATGACCTGCAGCATTAGCTACCGTGGTATTTGGGTAAAGGTTGAGGAATTTGACCATGAAAAACACTATCACAGGTGAACAGCTCAGAGGGCTGAACGTTAGATGGCCAAGTTGTAATCATGGAGCTGAACCCCTGCATCAGCTGCTGCCTCTTCTGTACACTGAGGCCAAAAATGATTAAAATGCCTATCAACTCTTCTCAGCTTTGATCCACCCACTGAAAACTCCCTAGAGTCTGATATTCTATCACCCTAGGTATCAAAGTAGAGCAAATAAAATATCAAACATTGAAACCCATGAAAAACTTCAAACACTGATCCTCTCCCAAAGAGGCAGGACACAGAACAGCAGGCCAGTAAAAATCTCAACACTTCACTGGGTTGTCTTCTACAGGCTGCAGGATTCTGCTCTGAAACTGCTTTACCAACACCAGTTTTGAGACTCCCAGTGCAACTTCCCCCAAATGAAGCATTGTTCTGCTTCAAGATGCTGGCAAGAATGTGCAGGATTTGGCAAGCTGCCCCCAGGAGCTGCAGCTCTGGAAGCCAAGCCCTGCAGCACCTAACCAGGCTGGCACAGCAACCAGAGAGCACTGCACACCTTGTCCCCATCCCACTGGGTGGCACAACCAAGAGGCAGCAAGAACATGGTGAGGATAAGAAGGACAAAAGCAACTTCAGACACATGCCTCACAGAAAGGTCTTGAGTTTTCAGTGTCTGACAGCTCCAACCTGAGTGAGGCAGCCATGCAGGCCTCCCAAATTCCCTGAGGTATCAGATGCTCCTACAGGGCTCAGCTTCTTAAGGTTTCTCCCCACTAAACCATTCATCTATTTTTCACAGAATACCTTCAACCAGATTCATTTCCCAACATGGGAAACAAATTTTATTAGTGTGAAAATGACACTTCAGCAGTACTTTGGAAGTCTAAAATGGCCAAAAATGTTTTCATTGAGCTCTGGGCAGAACTTCCCAGTAC